CCTTGGACCAAATTTGGTTGCCCACCCCTGGTGTAGAAAGATGGGCTATGGGGGGGTACCAAATTGTAGCAGATGGTGGGGTGTAAGGCTGAGGAGCATTCTTGCCTGCAGCTTCCTCCTTCTCCCCCACTATTCTGCAAGATTTTATCTGCGAAACTTTGACATCTCAGCCAAGTGAAAAATGCATGGGCAAAGGGCTTGTAGCTTATAAGGGTTGTGGATACAGGGTGAGGATTTAGATCATGGGTTGGCAAACTAAGGCCCAGGGACTGGATCCAGCCCAATCGCCTTCTAAATCCAACCTGTGGATGGTCTGGGAATCAGCGTGTTTTTACATGAGTCAAATGTGTCCTTTTATTTAAAACACATCTCTGGGTTATTTGTGGGGCCTGTCTGGTGTTTCTACATGAGCAGAATGTGTACTTTTGTTTAAAATGCATCTCTGGGTTATTTGTGGGGCATAGGAATTCGCTCATTTCCCCCCCTTCAAAATATAGTCCGGCCCCCCACAAGGTCTGAGGGACAGTGGACTGGCCCCCTGCTGAAAAGGTTTGCTGACCCCTGATTTAGCACCTCATTTCCATTTCTTGAAGTTTAGAATTGGTGATGCTTCTGAGTCCTATCTACATTATATTCTGCCTCTGTACCTAAACACTTGCTATTTCGAGAAGAGACACATATCTGTGTATTTCTTATAGTCTAGAATTGAATAACGCATTTGGCAATTGCAGCTGTTAGTGGAAGAGCCACAAACTGGTGTCTGAAACGGAGGGGATTGTGTTGAAATGTTTCGCAGCTGTTAACAGCTAATTTACCAGGGTTCTGACTTCTAAGCCTAGGCACCACATTTGCCACCTACCTTGCTTCGCCTTCTATCAAAATATTCCATTTTTTGGCATGGACGTTAACCTGGATTAATGTTGTAAAATATTATACTACCCTCTAATGATGAAATGTTGTAAACGGTCAAAATATTATGTGTTAATTAGTCTTAAAAACAGAGGCAGTGGGAAAAAATCCAACGGAAGGTGTCAAAATGAGAAATGAAATCCATATGTTAATCACTTTAAGGGTGATAGATTTGAGTGTGTGCTTTGGAATGCAGAGTTCTTGCTTCAGCTATCTGTGTTTGGCTGTATCTTGTTTGTGTGTTTAGTAGGTTATTTTAGATATGTTGTTTCTGTAAAATGCAAAACAGGAAAAGTGAAATGTAGTACAGTGGTACCTCGGGTTAAGTACTTAATTCGTTCCGGAGGTCCATTCTTAACCTGAAACTGTTCTTAACCTGAAGCACCACTTTAGCTAATGGGGCCTCCCGCTGCCGCCGCACCGCCAGAGCACGATTTCTGTTCTCATCCTGAAGCAAATTTCTTAACCTGAAGCACTATTTCTGGGTTAGCGGAGTCTGTAACCTGAAGCGTACATAACCTGTAGAGTATGTAACCCCAGGTACCACTGTAATTGGGAGGTTACTTCTGCTGTATGTGTGTGTCTACATAACATAATCTGCTGAGTTGAGCAGTTAATGTACCATATTTTTCGCCCTATAGGATGCACTTTTCCCCCTCCAAAAATGAAGGGGAAATGTGTGTGCGTCCTATGGGGCGAATGCAGGCTTTCGCTGAAGCCTGGAGAGCGAGAGGGGTCGGAGCGCACCCTTCTCGCTCTCCAGGCTTCAGGAAGCTATCCGCAAGCCTTAGGAGCCCTGCAGGAGTTCCCACCGGGCTCCCAAGGCTTGCGGACAGCAGCCTGCAGCCCGAAACCCGGGGAGCGCTCTGCAGCGCAGAGCTGGGCTCCCCGGGCTTCGGGCAACTATCCGCAAGCCTTCTGAGCGCGGTGGGAGTTCCCGCCCTTCTCGCTCTCCAGGCTTCAGGAAGCTATCCGCAAGCCTTGGGAGCCTGGCGGGAACTCCTGCCGGGCTCCCAAGGCTTGCAGGCAGCAGCCCGAAGCCAGGGGTGCGCTCCGCAGCGCAGAGCTCGGCTCCCCGGGCTTCGGGCAACTATCCGCAAGCCTTCTGAGCGCGGTGGGAGTTCCTGCCGGGCTCCAAAGGCTTGCGGATAGCAGCCTGTTTTGGGGGCTGGGGTGGGAAATAATTTTTTTTCTTTATTTCCCCCCCAAAAAACTAGGTGCGCCCTATAGGCCGGTGCGCCCTATAGGGTGAAAAATACGGTATATAACAACCAGCCATTGTGTGCATACACCACAGCTCATGGAGAATGTGCACATAATCTGTCTCTGAAGAGGGAATTGCGCACATTTCCCACTGTACAATCTCCCAACAGGTCTTGGGGAATGTGAATGCATTGATAGGATTTTGTACATTAACCGGACATTTTGCATACTCTCAGGGTGTGCTGGTGGGAGGGAACACAAGAAGCTGTATAAAATTAGATTGTTGCCTGCTGGATTGCCAACCTCTAAATTAGAGTTAGGAAAATAAAGGCATATATGCTGGAGAGTATGCATATTGATGAGTATTTTATTCAGAAATCCGAAATCAACTCTTCTAGGTGTAAACAGAAATAAGAGAAGTTGATATTCAGCTTGTTGTTAGCCTCTTAATTGGTACAAGACTATGTACTGGCTAATATGGAAAAATAAAATCCTCCATCGTTAATTGAATGGATAAGAAAAACATTGGAAATTGCATTGTTAATCAACATGATATATCAACTAAGGGCCAAAAATAACTCACAAAGTCAAGTTTATAGATAGATGGGTTTTATTTCATCTATCCATCCATCTATCTTCTTAGCCCCCCATATTTATTATATACTTTCTTTACTTTATTTTTTCCCCTTATTATCCTTGTGCATATGTTATGAACTTATTTTTAGATTATTATTTTTTACAATACTGAATTGGTGCACCTGCAGAGCTGTTCTAACAAACATTCATGTAACATAACTATATGCATGTTAATGGCACAGTATGTTTTTAACGGGGACGCGGGTGGCGCTGTGGGTTAAACCACAGAGCCTAGGACCTGCCGATCGAAAGGTGAGCTCCCGCCGTTTGGTCCCAGCTCCTGCCTACCTAGCAGTTCGAAAGCACCCCTAAGTCCAAGTAGATAAATAGGGACCGCTTACCAGCGGGAAGGTAAACAGTGTTTCCGTGTGCGGCGCTGGCTCGCCAGATGCAGCTTCGTCACGCTGGCCACGTGACCCGGAAGTGTCTTCGGACAGCGCCGGCTCCTGGCCTCTTGAGCGAGATGAGCGCGCAACCCTAGAGTCGGTCACGACTGGCCCTGATGGGCAGGGGTACCTTTACCTTTACCTATGTTTTTAACATTAAAATACCTACCAGGCTGTATTTATGTATGCAGCTCTTGAGCATCTGCAACAGTTGTGATGCTGTTGATTCAATTGTTATAATTTTATAATTCATTATTTTGATGCTAATTTAAGGTTTGTGGAAATCACTTGAGTCTTCACTACGAAGAAGAAAATATCATGATATGAATACATAATTTTTACTTGTGACTATTGTGATAACTTTATTTCTTTAACTTCTCAGATAGCTTCTGAAACAATGGTGGCCCATTTCATTTGTCACTTAACATGATTTCCTGTGTCTTAATATATAAATTCATTTCCATTTCCATTATTTCTATCCATTTACTTATTTCCAGAGGGGTAGGCATGTTAAGTCTGTTGCAGCAAATAACAGAGAGTCTTACAGCACCTTTGAATAACAAATTATTATAGCATAAGCTTTTATAGACTGGAATCCACTTCATCAGATTTTTTTTGTGTGTGTGTCTCATCTTCATGGATAACTATGGATTTCATTCTGTCAACCTCTATTTGGAAGCTAATTTGCCAGTTTATCAGACTGCATTGTAAGTCACACTCTGGAGATCATCATTATCTTTGGCTGCACAATGAAGGCTGTTCATCAGACTGAAGCATGGTTTTGTTTCCCTTTCTTCCTCCCCCAGTGCCAGCATCATGCCTGCCTCCTAATAGTAATCTAAACAATAACAGAAATTAGATATAAATTGAGATAGGTCTGTTTTGGCTGTATCATGTGAGGCAATAGGTGGAGGTCCAATTCACTGAACATCCCCTCCAAACAAAACAATCTACTCCACATAGACAAGATGTAGAGATTTGAGAATAAAAGACTGCAATTACACGCAGGCCTTTCCATGCCTCCCTCTTGGGGAGGCGATTGTGGTTGCCTTGCTTTTCCTTGGTTGTTCTGCTGTTGCCCTGTTGCCCTGTGATCAAAGCTCTGAGCCATAAACCAAGAACAAACCTTAGCTAAAGCTCATGGTTAGTCTGTGGGGAGATAAACCATGAGCCTGGTTTCAGATGACATGCTAAGCTGGGCGTAGTTTAGCTCAGCACAGCAGCAGAAATCCTGGAGAAGAGCTAAGTGACACTGATCTTATCTGCAGGAGTGTGTGTGTTGCCCCTAAGGATTCATCTGCTTGCCCCACTGCTTCCCCCCTTGAAAATCTGTGGTTTACCATTGAATTGGAGCAAATGGGCATTGGTTTTTTTGTGGATTGCTGTTTGTTCCAATTCAGCAGTTAAGAACATGCTTTCTAGGGGAAGGTTGCAGTGCAAATGCAAAACCACTTGTACCCATGCCTAGAAAGCGCAGGACAAACAGAAGTGTGGACAAGCCCTAAGCTATGGTTTAGCTTAGCATGGCATGTAAACCAGGCTGCTACCTGAGCATCCAGCAGAACTTGTAAACCAGAACGGACAATGATTTTCTATAGGTGCATACTGTGGTGGGATGTGTGTAAGCTCTATGAGAAAACTGGCTTGCTAGGCTTCTTCCCATGATATGGCAGTTCTTTATGTGGAAGGATTTCGTTTCATATGGAGGGAAATCCAATTATGTGATCCACCGGATGTGCAGTTTGAGATGGGACAGTCCAGATATGAGTTTGCATCCTGAGTGAGAAGAAGGCCATAACCAGCTTTGCAAATTAGAGGGAGTCTGAGCTGATGAAGTGTATCTGCCTGTGCAGAGATCAAGGGCAGGGTCGTGGCTCAGAGGTGGAACATCTGCTTTGCTTGCAGAAGATCCCAGGTTCAATCCCTGGTAGGGCTGGGAGAGACCCTGCCTGAAATCCTAGAGAGCCACTGACAGTGTAGACAATACTGACCTCAGTGGTCCAATGGACTGAGTCAAGGCAGCTTCCTATGCTCCATGTTCCTGCACCAATACAACTTGTAGGTGCATAGGCTCTCTCTACATGGTTTGGTATTCTGCATTTTCAGGATACCTAACTGTGCAGAGAGAGCATGTGTACACCTTGTATGTGAAACACATTCGAATGCGAGTGTTGGGGTCAACTGGAAGGCCAGCAGACATGACTCTTTTCCATCTGTGCATCAGTGGTTTTAAAAACTTCCTACCTTCAGACATAATTTTTCACATTGATTGGCATGCCAAGAAACCCTACCCATTGTAGAAGACCATAAGAAACATGTGAGGCTTCTTCTCCTGTGTCTAGGATGCCTGACCCACTGCTGGTTGACCACCTCCTCTTTGCAAAAGTAAGGGTTTGTTTTGAAAACTTGGGAAGTAGGGAGTTGCAGGAGAGGGGAGGCATGCATTCTTTTTGCAATGTTTCGGTCACTCAGCAACTTGCTAGACATATGAAGAAAATATCATTGGAAATGTTTTGCTTCTTTTCAAGCCAGTTAATTAAGGCTGTAATCCTAATGCCATTTACTAGGGAGTAAGCCGCATTGAATTCAATCAGGCTTATTTCTGGGTAGACATGGTTTGGATTGAATTCTATGTCATGTTTAAACCATAATGTGTAAAAAGTGAAGGTTTGCTTGAAAGCATGACAATATGAAACAACAACAACAAAAACTGTTAGCATATAATTATGTTCAAAAAGCATTCACTTCCCCCCCCTGGGGTTTAATTTTCATTGTGAACAAATGGAGAAGGAATTACACTTTGTTTTTAGAAATTTATCTCCCCACCATATGTCACTGTCTGTATGAAGGCTCTTGTTTTATGTCTAAGAGTCTAGTACATTTTTAGTAAATAAGTTTCAGCAATACAGTAGTGCATTCTTGATTGGTTTTGATGTGACAACCACTAAACAAATTTTTGTTTCAATATTCTGCTTTCTAAGATATGCCAAGTCTAAGAAGCTTTCAAAAAGTAAAGATGTTACAACAGTGAGATCAATTCGAATGCATGTATAAAATCTGCTAAATGTGGCAGAATGAAGTCTTCAAAATACCCATGAAAATATTATTCTTGTTCAATTTCAGTGCAATTTGATATGCCTCAATCTTTGATTTATTAAAAAAAGAAAGTTCCACACAGTATGAAATGAATAATTGCGAGTATATCATCTCTCTTTGGGCATATTTCTAGTTGTAATTTCACAAAATGTATTAGTAACAGCATAAAGAATTGATAAAAAGACTCGTTTGCAAGTACTCTGCAAAACTTGCAGCTGAATTCTTGGATGCGTTGGAATTATACTAAGCAGAGATAACCTCTATAATATATTCTTTAAGGGCCAGAATTTTCAAAATGTGAGATGTGTTTAGGGACATTCAAGCAGACCATTATCATTATGTGCTTTGCTAGCATTTAACTTGCCTTGTGTTGGAAGAGTTCACATTTTATTTTATCCTAGTAGTTACCAAGTTGCTTTTAGTTTTCTGGGCCTAATTTTTAATACATTATTATTATTATTAATTTAGTATGTGTATATACAGGTGACTCCCTATTTATGTGGAGGTTATATTCCCGGATACTGCCATATATGTTAAATCACATATACTGGGGAAAACCATCTAAAAAGCCAGGTCGGCGGTTCGAATCCCCGCAATGGGGTGAGCTCCCATTGCTCGGTCCCAGCTCCTGCCCACCTAGCAGTTCAAAAGCACGTCAAAGTGCAAGTAGATAAATAGGTACCGCTCCGGCAGGAAGGTAAATGGCATTTCTGTGTGCTGCTCTGGTTTCACCAGAAGCGGCCTAGTCAAGGCCATCCACATGACCTGGAAAAACTGTCTGCGGACAAATGTTGGCTCCCTCGGCCACTGAGATGAGCGCCACAACCCCAGAGTCGTCCACGACTGGACCTAACGGTCAGGGGTACCTAACCCCCCCCTAAAAAACCTCTGGAAACACTTAAAAAACTCTTTTAAAAATCAACAGCACTTACCAGACTGGCATGAATGGTGGCTCTCAGTCTTCCTCGTTGGTGAAGAACAATGTGGAAACAATGACAAGGGGGTAGACTGGGACTCCAAAGTGCTTGGCTGTGGGTCAGATTGCAATTGCAAAGGCTCCTGGGATTGCTAGCCATTTTACCAACTCACACATTTTTTTTCCAGTTTTTGTACTCTTTTGGGCCCGTTTCCCCCCTTTCCGCACCTTTCTGCAGTTTAAATCAAATTATTAATTTCCTGGTACCATGCGTATATGTGGTTGCATGTGAGCCAAACATGCGTAAGTGGGGAGTCACCTGTACCACGTTTTTCCAGAAGTGACCTCCAAGCAGTTTAAATAAAATAAACAAATAACTTGTATAATTGCAAATCACGGAACACAATTAAGATAACAGTAAAATGTCAACACGGTCAGTCTCAAGGTCATGGGTCAAAAACAGTCTAACCATAGCCAGCAAAAGCAAAAAAAATCAAGTAAATTTCCACTGAGCAGTAAGCTCCCAAGAAACATGTGGCCATCCATGCCTCAGGGTGTTCCATAACTTGGGCAGCACTACGGTTCGAGAGGCATTTGGTTCTTCACCTCCTCCATCTCCATCATCATCCTGCCTGAACTGACACTCTGTTAATGTCCTTTCCATCTTGTGTTCTGATTGCTTACCCTTGGATGAGAGCAGGGCTGGATTTAGGTTTGATGAGGCCCTAAGCTACTGAAGGTAATTGGGTCCTTTATATGTCCAGCTGTCCTTCGTCAACAACAGACTGCCACTGTTTTTTGTGTTGAATATATGCTATATGGTAATTTATGGACCTAATAGGTATCTAAAGGCATTTGCACATATCAAATCAAAATGTTTATTCGGCTTTACGCCCATCATAAAGCACAACACACAAAACAAATCAAATAAAACAGCGGTCTCGTACAAGCCACAAGTAATATAACACAATTCACAGCTCACAAGGACAAATATTGGCAAATCAAAACAGAAATTTAAGATTAAAGTTAAAAATTTAGGCACTACGCTAAAATCAATATCTGATGTCAATATCAAAAATTCTTATAACTATCAATAATCAGCTAACATTCCATTCCGTCTCTTGTACGAGAGAACGGCTGTTAGGAATTTAGCAACCTGTAGAGTAATATAAGGATCTGCATCTTGAAGAACCCAGGCAAGCTGTAGGTCTACTGGTTTGTCAGCCATAGGCTGGATTATGGAGTTTAGTATACTAGCGCGAGCTGAACTGTACATAGGGCAGATAAACATAACATGATGTAAAGATTCAGATGTTTTCATTTCACAAGCACACATTGAAGGGACTTGGCCCTTAGTGAATCTATGTCTCAGCACGTTTGTTGGAAAAACATTGAACCTGGCTCTAATGAAGGCATATCGGTGAGATGCGGCTATAAGCGATGTTAAGTAGGACGGAGCACGATAGATAGGGGTTATGCCGAGATTTAACGGGGAGCAGGCTCCACCACCAGCTAAGAAATTTTGGTATAGCTCCACATCATCCAGCCTTTGATTTATACACCTTTTTGCCGCGTTTAGATCCAGTTTGAGCAATTCCGTGGGCGAGATCTCATAGGACAGCAATTTGGCATGGATTTTTCCTGACCACAAATTTGTGAAGTCATCCCGCCACATGCATTGAATGAGATAATGGTTCGGTAGTTTATGCCATAGGGATATCCAATAAATCAAAACTCTCCTCCATAAAACTAACTCCACTGAGGGGATCTTCATTTCTAAGCGAATAGCCGCATTACTTACGCATGTTGGTAGTTTTAGAAGTCGGCGTAAGAATTGGCTTTGAAGCGACTCTAAAGGTGAGAGGTTTGCAAAAGCAGCCCATAAAGGTGCAGCATAGGCCATTGTGGCCATCACTTTAATGCTATACACTTTCAAGGCCGCAGGGATGAATAAGGCCCCTCAGAGTAGAAAAACGGAGGAGGGAGTGTGATAGGGCTTTTGTCTTGTTTTGAAGATATTCAACGTGCGCTTTCCACCCTAGATTATATTGAAAATAAATTCCTAAATATTTAAATTTGTGTACTTGTTCGATTTTCGTGCCCTCCAATTTCCATGAATATAATTTTCGACTCCTTGAAAATATCAGTACTTTGGACTTGGTGTGGTTGATAGACAGATGATTAGAACGGCAATATGATGCAAAAATCTTTAGTGCCCTCCTTAAACCCACTCTGGAGTAAGAGAGTAGTACCGCATCATCTGCGTAGAGAAGTAAAGGACAACGATAATCTGCTATACGGGGGGTGTGGATAAATTTTTGTGAGTCGATTAATGGGTTCCTCATATCACTGATAAATAAGTTAAAAAGAAGAGGCGCTAAAATACAACCCTGGCGTACACCCTTATTTACTGGCACTGGGTTAGTTAGGTCTCCAGCAGGGGATATTCTTACCCTGGCCACGGATCCGGCATGAAGTTGGGAGATAAGCCACAGGAGCCTTCTATCTATTCCCCAGCAGGCAAGTTTATCCCATAGTAATTGCCTCGGAATACTATCAAACGCAGCTTTCAAATCTATGAAGGCTGCGCAAAGTTGGCCCCGTCGAGGTGTCGAGTATTTCCGGGCTAAGTGATAAAGAATAATTGCCTGATCTGTTGTGGATCGATTTAATCTAAATCCGGCTTGCTCATGCCCAATCAGGTCAGCCTCAGCTGACCACTTCATCAGCCTTGCCAGCAAAAACGGGCATATATTTTCCCAATGGACGATAGCAGACTGATATTCCGGTAATTCCCTGGGTCACCGGGAGGGCCTTTTTTGTAGATAGGAATTATAATGGCCTCCTTCCACGTACCTGGTATTAAGCCCGTGGCATTTATTGCGTCAAACGTTTTAGCTAAAATCCCTGCCCACCATGCAGAA